ATGATAGGCCAACGTGCATGAGGCAGGGAAGAGAAGCCTCCATCTCCGCTGATCCTCACCTTCCTGACATCGTTCCGTCCGTTTGTCTGCATCAGTCTCGGCGTCGTTCTTCATTCTTTTATCGTTTCCGTTAAGTGTATTACTGTCCACACTACGCCTTGCCTCCTGTCTTCTTCGTTTCTTCTTATTCCTTGTCAGAACTTCTAGATACTCGCCCTCCTCGTCTGACTGGCTGCTTTCAGGGTCCATGTTAATAACGCCGTGAGAAGTAGCCATGTCTTCTGGTGACTGAGTCTCCATCTCAGTACCCAGCATGGGGGGGGGGGGGGGGGGGGGAAGGTGCGGAGCAGGTATCTTGACCCGACCGCGTCCCAGGTAAGACTGGGTTATACTCAACAATATCTGACAACAACGTCAATTCAACGCCGAGTCAGCATCATCAACGCCGAGTCAGCATCATCAACGCCGAGTCAGCATCATCAACGCCGAGTCAGCATCATCAACGCCGAGTCAGCATCATCAACGCCGAGTCAGCATCATCAACGCCGAGTCAGCATCATCAACGCCGAGTCAGCATCATGAACGTCGATTGAACGTCGAACCAACACTACTCTTTAACGATAAACACACACACACGTTAAACACCATTCCTGGACCAAAGAGCCAGAGCCCAACCCCCCGCAAGCACATCTAGGTGAGTACACAGACCGATTGCCCCAAAAATGCCGAAACCAGGAGCTGAAACTCAACTCCGCGGATGACAGCTGGTTAAGAAGCTAAGCACCAGGTGGCAGGAGGAGCAAGGAGGGCGTGGGAGGCAGGGTGAAGTTCACCCTGCTGGCCCTGACCCCTAGAGCGGCAGGCAGGAGTCCTCAAAAGGGTGAGAGGATATTAGAGTGACAGAGGGACGTCCCCCGGCGAGCAGACGTCATCCACTAACGACCCTCACAGCTTTGCATTCCTTGTGAGGACGCTGCTGGGGGCGGTGGTGGGGGGGGGGGTTAGGACGCCGTTGGGGGTGGTAGGGTGGGGTGGGAACGCCGCTGGGGTGGGTAGGGGGGTTAGGACGCCGTTGGGGGGTGGTAGGGTGGGGTGGGAACGCCGCTGGGGTGGGTAGGGGGGTTAGGACGCCGTTGGGGGGTGGTAGGGTGGGGTGGGAACGCCGCTGGGGTGGGTAGGGGGGTTAGGACGCCGTTGGGGGGTGGTAGGGTGGATTAGGACGCTGTTGGGTGGGTTGGGGGGTTAGGACGCCGTTGGGGGGTTGTGGGGGTGGATTAGGACGCTGTTGGGTGGGTAGGGGGTTAGGACGCCGTTGGGGGGTTGTGGGGGTGGATTAGGACGCTGTTGGGTGGGTAGGGGGGTTAGGACGCCGTTGGGGGTGGTTGGGTGGGGGTGAGGACGCTGCTGGGGGTGGGTAGGGGTGAGGATGGTAATGGGGTACCCTCCTTCCGCTCTCACGACTAGACCGGAAGACGGAACAATACCGAACTAAGGATATACTACTCACTACACACTCAAAAGTCACAGTCAGCGGAAGTAGAGAACTAGTCTCTCTATCTCGGTTCGATCTCTCTCTCTCTCGATCCTGCTCTCGATCTCGGTTCCCGGGGCAGGACGACTGAGATGTAAACAGACCTCGGATGTTTGTTTACACCCGAGGCTTCTGCAGGAGTTAGGCGACCGCTGCTGGTCGTTGGCCTAGGGGAAGGAGAGCCATAAGTCTATAGCAATTTCCCTGGTCCTCGATAACCGGAAACAGCGGAAAACCGGTTGGCATGATGACACTCTCTCTCTCTCTCTCTCTTTCTCTCTCTCTCTCTCTCTCTCTCTCTCTCTCTCTCTCTCTCTCTCTCTCTCTCTCTCTCTCTCTCTCTCTCTCTCTCTCTCTCTCGTCGAATGTGTGGTAACTTTTGTTGTTGCTTTATTATAATCTGACAAGTTGCTGTATTGTCCAACCTTTCAGTGCTTAGGTAGGTAATTATGAGCAGAAATTGAGGTAGCGATATGAGAACAATAAGCTGGGGTATGAGGACAAGGAGCTGGGGTATGAGGACAATAAGCTGGGGTATGAGGACAAGGAGCTGGGGTATGAGGACAAGGAACTGGGGTATGAGGACAAGGAACTGGGGTATGAGGGCAAGGAACTGGGGTATGAGGACAAGGAGCTGGGATATGAGGACAAGGAACTGGGGTATGAGGACAAGGAGCTGGGGTATGAGGACAAGGAACTGGGATATGAGGACAAGGAACTGGGGTATGAGGACAAGGAACTGGGGTATGAGGACAAGGAGCTGGGGTATGAGGACAAGGAGCTGGGGTATGAGGCCAAGGAACTGGGGTATGAGGACAAGGAACTGGGGCATGAGGACAAGGAACTGGGGCATGAGGACAAGGAACTGGGGTATGAGGACAAGGAGCTGGGGTATGAGGACAAGGAGCTGGGGTATGAGGCCAAGGAACTGGGGTATGAGGACAAGGAACTGGGGCATGAGGACAAGGAACTGGGGCATGAGGACAAGGAACTGGGGTATGAGGACAAGGAACTGGGGCATGAGGACAAGGAACTGGGGTATGAGGACAAGGAGCTGGGATATGAGGACAAGGAACTGGGGTATGAGGACAAGGAGCTGCGGTATGAGGACAAGGAGCTGGGGTATGAGGACAAGGAACTGGGATATGAGGACAAGGAGCTGGGGTATGAGGACAAGGAGCTGGGATATGAGGCCAAGGAACTGGGATATGAGGACAAGGAACTGGGGTATGAGGACAAGGAACTGGCGTATGAGGATAAGGAGCTGTGATATGAGGACAAGGATCTGGCGTATGAGGACAAGGAGCTGGGGTATGAGGACAAGGAGCTGTGATATGAGGACAAGGATCTGGCGTATGAGGACAAGGAGCTGTGATATGAGGACAAGGAGCTGTGATATGAGGACAAGGAGCTGTGATATGAGGACAAGGAACTGGGGTATGAGGACAAGGAGCTGGGGTATGAGGACAAGGAGCTGGGATATGAGGACAAGGAACTGGGGTATGAGGACAAGGAGCTGGGATATGAGGCCAAGGAACTGGGGTATGAGGACAAGGAGCTGGGATATGAGGCCAAGGAACTGGGATATGAGGACAAGGAACTGGGGTATGAGGACAAGGAACTGGCGTATGAGGATAAGGAGCTGTGATATGAGGACAAGGATCTGGCGTATGAGGACAAGGAGCTGGGGTATGAGGACAAGGAGCTGTGATATGAGGACAAGGATCTGGCGTATGAGGACAAGGAGCTGTGATATGAGGACAAGGAGCTGTGATATGAGGACAAGGAGCTGTGATATGAGGACAAGGATCTGGCGTATGAGGACAAGGAGCTGTGATATGAGGACAAGGAGCTGGGATATGAGGACAAGGAGCTGGGGTATGAGGACAAGGAGCTGGGATATGAGGACAAGGAACTGGGGTATGAGGACAAGGAGCTGGGATATGAGGCCAAGGAACTGGGGTATGAGGACAAGGAGCTGGGATATGAGGCCAAGGAACTGGGATATGAGGACAAGGAACTGGGGTATGAGGACAAGGAACTGGCGTATGAGGATAAGGAGCTGTGATATGAGGACAAGGATCTGGCGTATGAGGACAAGGAGCTGGGGTATGAGGACAAGGAGCTGTGATATGAGGACAAGGATCTGGCGTATGAGGACAAGGAGCTGTGATATGAGGACAAGGAGCTGTGATATGAGGACAAGGAGCTGTGATATGAGGACAAGGAGCTGGGATATGAGGACAAGGAGCTGTGATATGAGGACAAGGAGCTGGGATATGAGGACAAGGAGCTGGGATATGAGGACGATCCCTAACCACATCAATCGTCGGGATTCAAACACCAACCTTGCAAGAAGTGAGAACTTCTACACCTACCGAACAGCCCAAATGAAAGGACTGAACACTTCCAAGCCTAATTTTGAAATAGATTCCCTGAAACTAGAAGTCGCACAGTGCAAGAGAGAGAGAGTTGACAACTTCTTACCTTAAACGAATAAAAGATGCATTTGCGATATTCATAAATGTATCAATTGTATTAAACACGAACGAGCAATTTCAGTCAACAGAAACTTGGATAATTATATCAATGTCCTTAACAACACGGCCCAATGCATGTTCCATATATATTACTACTGTTACTACTACTACTACTATACACCCTGAACAAATCCACAAGGGCCGTGACGAGGATTCGAACCTGCGTCCGGGAGCATCCCAGACACTGCCTTAATCGACTGAGCTACGACAGGGTAAAAGGGTTGAAACCGAAGTTCTACTGAACTTATGTGTGACTATACACCCTGGTTAGGCTTACACTAAAGCCTATCCGAGGTTTCACACATGGCCCCCCCCCCTCCCATGCACTCTGGCTTGTAGTCCAGGAATTGCTATCTAGGAATTGCACATTAACATCATGTTAATATGATGTGATATCGTTGTCCATTTGAAAAGAACCGTAGGAGATATAACTCCTAACCCTAGAGGATTCACTTATATTCCAGGTTGCATTACTTTTGTTTACCATGTCGTGGTGTAGTTTTTTTATTATTATTATTATTTTCTACCACAGACGTGGCCACACATTAACAATGCTAACCAGCATATATATACATTTTCTTATGTCCTCCATGGACAGGGTTAGAGATGTGTTAAACATATAGTTCAGGGATTTATTGGACAATCAACCACAGAAGGTGATTGTAGTGCTTTTAAAATGCTAGGCTAAGCTACATACGTAAATACAGAAAGTAGTGGTCTAAGGCGTATGCTTGGGAGTACCCAGAACATAGGTTCGAATCCTCCGCACGGCTCTTACTGATTTTCTCATTGATACGTCACGTTAATGTGATTTTATACAATAATAATATTTTATTATTAATATATATATATAATAATAATAATAATAATAATAATAATAATAATAATAATAATAATAATAAAACTAAGGTCTCCAGTTGCCTGATTACCTCCTTCCATGGTGACATTCGGTCCAAATGTATAATCCAGCAGGAATCAGCAGAAGCGCCCGGAGCGTCCTCTTGCGCCTGCTCAGCAGATGTGGTTGACCACACTGGACCAGCTGTACTTAGTGTTGCGTTTTCCTGTCCACGAGACGACGATCTGGTGGCGGGATAGGTCACCCTCCGGTCTAGCGTGGAGTACAGGTGACGGGACAGTCCGCCCCGCGGCCTGGAACAGGTGACGGAATAGGTCGCCTCTGGACTAGCGTAGACGGGATATTCTTCGTCCTCCGGACTAGCATAGACGGGATAGGTCGCACCACGGGCTGGCGTGGGACAGGCAAGTGATGCCTGCACGCTGTGGTGTCCACCTTGTCACTGCCGCGGGAAGACTGATTAGGTTCAAGCATGGCGTCTGCCTCCCTTGCCTGACAGCTGCCCCACAGCGGGGGGAAAAGTCTTTTGCTTCAAATACTAACCAAAGCTATCCTGAATACCTATTCACCGCTATGTGAATAGGCGCACTAGATGAAAAGAAACGTGTCCGAAGGCCTCCGTCCTGCCGCTGGAATTGAAGGCGGGGACCTGTCTGTTATATCCGGATTATATAAGCTGTGTTTATATGGTGGGGGGGACTGAGATAAACACAGCTGGGATGGTGTTCAGTCGAGGCCCTCGTGCAGTGTTGCCACCCACGACTTTCCCGCCACCAGTGTGCGAACAGATGATCACTTGGGCCACCATCTGATTGTCTTCATTTATTATGCCCGCCATTACCCATCCTGTGGTGGGGGGGGGGGAACCCCATACCTTTCCTGAGGACGGTAGTGAACCCTATACAGATCTCGTGAGCGATAGTGGACCTGATACTCATCCTGTGGGCGGTGGTGAACCCCATACTCATCCTGTGGGCGGTGGTGGACCCCATACCCATCCTGTGGGCGGTAATGGACCCCCATACCCATCCTGTGGGCGATAGGGTGGACCCCATACCCATCCTATGGTCGGTAGTGGACCCCATACCCATCCTGTGGGCGTCAATGGACCCCATACCCATCCCGTGGGCGGCAGTGGACCCCATACCCATCCTGTGGGCGGTAGTGCATGGACCCCATACCCATCCTGTAGGCGGTAGTGGACCCCATACCCATCCTGTGGGCGGTAGTGCATGGACCCCATACCCATCCTGTGGGCGGTAGTGGACCCCATACCCATCCTGTGGGCGGCAGTGGACCCCATACCCATCCTGTGGGCGGTAGTGGACCCCATACCCATCCTGTGGGCGGCAGTGGACCCCATACCCATCTCGTGGGCGGTAGTTGAAAGCTACAAAGGAGAACGAAGCCGACTGCACTACCGGGATCCTCATTATTGGGAGTCCCTTTCATTATCATTAGGACATATGGGGGGCATTTGACAAGCAGCCTGCTGCCTGTCCTCGTCGAGCCCACTAGAGAGATAATAGCCCTCAGGTAAATTCAGGTAAATAATGGACTCAGAAACTGAACCCCCAAATTCAATTAGCTATAGCAAGTTACAGCCTAGTCACACAGTTTAATGTATAAACAAATACAAAATAAGGCATATAATTATTATTTGCTTATCATGCATCCCACACCCATCCATTAGGCTGCGGTTGAAAGTTTACTGTTATGTGAATTTACCTATGTACATTAGGTAATAAAGGTTATACCTACAAACAGTAGGTAAACTTGGGGTATGGCGCTACGATTTCTAGTAGTACATCATTTTTGCCCGAAACGCTGCGCGTACTAGTGGCTTTACAAGATTGTAAATACTATGCTATGTATTCTCTCTAACCCAATGTACCTTCTTGTATATAAATAAATAAATAAATAAATAAATAAATAAATAAATTTTGAATAAAAATCTGTATTTCTTTAATATTTGCAACAGAATCATCATGAAATTCTACGATTTGTTCACATTCATTTACACAGTAAAGTAAGGTATATGAAAAGTTCCGCTGAGAGAGTTTATACACTTAATTGTTCCGCCTTGCTATATTATATAATGGATTTTGCTAAACCCTTTGATTAGGTAACATATGAAAGACTGGCAAGGAAAAACAGACCATAATCGACTTGAGGATGGTCCAGGACGGACCGAAACGTCGTCGTCCCTTCACCTTCTAGTGTGTGGTCTGGTCACCTGGCAAGGAAATTACAGGCACATGGAATAAATGGAAGAATACTAGAATGGATAAAACAATGGTTAAAACAAAGAAAACAAAGAGTCGTTCTAAATAGAATTGAATCTAATTGGAGAAATGTAGTAAGTGGAGAACCACAGGGATCCATTTTGGGGCCAACTATTTTTGTCATATACATCAATGACATAGATGAGAATATTACAAACCAGATCATCAATGTTGCAGATGACAGTATGGTAGAGTGGGAAATGATAATGATGAAGCGACCCGTCCTCGACTCGAAGTCCATTAATTACATCCAGCGGTCGACCCCACAGACACATTCATATATTTTTACATGCTGTTCATTCAAAACAGGAATTTTCTCAAATATATATTAATATTATAATATTTCAGCATATTGTGCATATATAGGCATAGGTTAGGTTAGGTGTTTAGGTTCTGTTGGCGATTATTTGTATTTGTAGTACGTGGGTGAAGCATTTACAGCGTTGTGGTTCGAACAAAATTCGTCAGTGAAACATTTGTTCCGGAAATGTTCGAACGTCAACAGTTGTGAATCGTGTGTAAACTTTTATTTATATTTATTTATTTATTTATTTATTTATTTATTTATTTATTTATTTATTTATTTATTTATTTATTTATTTATTTATTTATTTATCTATTTATTTATTTATTTATTTATGTATACAAGAATTCTTACATTCTTGTACAGCCACTAGTAAACCGTTTTTCATTCATAAACAGGGGGTTTGGCGGGTGCATGGAATCACTTTTGGGACTTTGGAGGACGGACTGGAAATTCACAAGTGCCTTGGTGAGGATTCGAACCTATGTTAGAATTTGTTCATTGATATATCAGCCCGTCCTCCAAACAAAGATCCAAAAGTGATTCCATGCACCCGCCAAACCCCCTATTTATGAATAAAAAACGGTTTACACACGACTCACAACTGATGACGTTCGAACAGTTCCGGAACAAGTGCTCACCCACGTACTACAAATACAAATAATCGCCAACAGAACCTAAACACCTAACCTAACCTATGCCTATATATACACAATATGCTAATATATTATAATATTAATTTACATTTGAGAAAATTTCTTTTTTGATTGAACAGCATGTAAAAATTTATGAATGCGTTTGTGGGGTCGACCGCTGGTTGTAATGGACTTGAGTCGAGGACGGGTTGTGTAAATGCTTCATCCACGTACTTCAAAAGCAACTAATCGCCAACAGAACCTAAACACCTAACCTATATGCGCTAAAATTCCTTTAGCGCTCTCGGCAAACTGAAAAAAAAAAAAACTAGCACAATGTGCTCTCAGCGTTTCGGGCGATCGAGTGGCAACACTGAAAAGTGTACACTCTTTTCACTGTCCTGACCTTAATTTTCGATGTACATATTTTATTTTTATACCAATGTATTCGCAATAAAATATTCTACAAGAACATATGTATAAAATGTCAACAAAGCATGAGTTAGACCACCACCAGATAAAGAAACTACGTCGATCACTAGCCGTGAGCTCCAAACAGCGACGAAATGTTTCCATTCTTTTCAGGGTTGTCAACTCCACACTTGTCCTACAGCGTTAAATTTGGTATCACTGAGATCGCAATAAAATTGCCTACACGGACATATGCATATAAATGTAGAATCATGATCGCGGCCCACCCGCAAGAGTGTGTGAAGTGGGGGAAGTGTTACCTGTTATCGCACATCGGCGAAACCAGTATTGAAAAGTTTATATTCTTTTCACTGTCCTGACCTTAATTTTCTATGTACGTATTTAATTTTTGTACCAATGTGTTTGCAACAGAATGTTCTAGAATAACATATGTATAAAATGTCACACAAGGATACGTTAGACCGGCACCAAATCAAAAACCTACGTCGATTACACTTGTCGTGTCAACAATACAATAGTCTTACCACGAAGATGCAATACAATGCCGTTCTCCCAAATAGGCTGTGTGGCTATTAGAGAAAACGTAAATTTCATGGCAAACATGTTCATACTATCCCCAAGTCGATCGGATAAGAATTGAATTTTATAGAAATATTTGTTCATGGGTCGTGTAAATACGACGCTCGCTCGCATTCAAGAGAAAATAGGGGTCATAAACAAACGTCCGGGGCGCGCTAAAGTGTTTAAGTAAAAAAAGAATCAAAATGTTATTCAGGTAAAAGTACATACATGGAAAATGAGTTACAAACATTTTTTTTTTGAGATATATACAAGAGTTGTTACATTCTTGTACAGCCACTAGTACGCGTAGCGTTTCGGGCAGGTCCCTGGAATACGATCCCCTGCCGCGAAGAATCGTTTTTTCATCCAAGTACACATTTTACTGTTGCGTTAAACAGAGGCTACAGTTAAGGAATTGCGCCCAGTAAATCCTCCCCGGCCAGGATACGAACCCATGACATAGCGCTCGCGGAACGCCAGGCGAGTGTCTTACCACTACACCACGGAGACATGATGTTTGATTTATAGATAGAGCTAGTACATTCAATACCTAAATCCACTAATACGCACAGCGTTTCGGGCAAGATATGCACATATTATATTGCGCATATATATATGCACAATATGCTAATATATTATATTAATATATATTTGAAAAAATTCCTGTTTTGGATGAACAGCATGTTAAAATTTATGAATGCGTCTGTGGGGTCGACCACTGGATGTAATGGACTTGAATCGAGGACGGGTTGAATATATCACGTTACTGTCATTTCTCTGTGTATCAGATTTCTCTGAGAATAAACTACATGAACTCCACAAATGATCAGATTGGCAAATGCTTTTTAATTAGCTTAGTAGACTTAGTGCTTAGTAAGCGATTCTTCGCGGCGGGGATCGTATTCCAGGGACCTGCCCGAAACGCTACGCGTACTAGTGGCTGTACAAGAATGTAACAACTCTTGTATATATCTAAAAAAAAAAACATATTGTCAAATGCAAGACCCTGCATGTGGGGCATAGCAACCCATGTCACAATTACCAAATTAATAACACTACATTACAACAGATTGATGAAGAAAAGAACCTGGGAGTCAAAATCCACAACTCAATGAAAGTTTTTTTTTTTAAAGTCATAGTATTTTGTAAATACTATGCTATGTATTCTCACAAACCCAATGTACCTTCTTGTATATAAATAAATAAATAATAAATAAATAAATAGTTGCACAGCA